AATATGCCAAACACAGTAACAAGAATTTTTTGTATTTTAATTATTATAGCTTAGTAGTATTCTTCTGTTCGTAAGAAGTCTCACAATGGAGATGTTACTGGGTCAAATCAAATGAACAATGGGAGGACAGTGTTTGTTTTGTTTGTTTGGTTGGTTTACATGACTGTATATGTTTTGGGATACAATTGGCACCTTCTCCAAAAAGATGTGCTATTCGCCACAAAACTGTGTTACTCACCACCAACATCCTCCACCACTGTCCATTGCACCCTCCTGCCTTCATCCACTCCCTCCCGCCGCTCTTCCTCTCATCCTCTCAGTTCTGTTTGTCCTGAATCCACGGCTGTTTGCCCATGGTCTGTTTCCTCCCTGCCTTTCCTTCTTAGGAACTGGAGATCAGTATTTGCCTATCTCCTGATGACTTATTCCACTTAGCATGAGCCTCTTCCATTCCATCACACTGGAGCAAAATGCATAGTTTCCTCTTTTTAAAAAAAAAAATTAAATATTTTAAATGCTAGCAGTGCTCAGGGGCAAAACCAGTGTTGATGCTTGGGGGCTCACTCCTGGCAATGCTAATGGAACCATGTGATACAGGGGATCAAACCTGGCCGCCTGCACCTTTTATTTTTGTATTTTAATTATTATAGCTTAGTAGTATTCTTCTGTTCGTAATGTCATTTCCCTTCCATTTACGCATCTGCAGGCACTCGCTTCCAGATTTAATTGTGGTTCCGTGCATGATGAATTCCTTCAGTTTGTTTTTGTGTTTGGAAAACTATTTCTCTTTCATCTTGAAATATGTTTGTTAGGTTTAAAATTCTAGTAGTTGGGTGCCGGAGTGATAGTACAGCGGGTAGAGCGTTTGCCTTGCACATGGCTGACCTGGGTTTGATCCCCAGCATCTCATATGGTCCCCTAAGCACCACCAGGAGTAATTTCTGAGTGCAAAACCAGGAGTTCCCCTGAGCATCGCTGGGTGTGACCCAAAAAGCAGATAAATAAATAAATAAATAAAATCTCTAAAAAAAAAATTCTAGTAGTATTAATCTTCTACTTTCAGTTCTTTAACAGTGCCTCACTAGACCAAAGAGATCGTCTAAACATTAAAATGCATGCATTGCAGGTGATGGACCTGGATTTGGCCCCCAGCACCAAACGTGACCCCTGATTGCAGAGCTAGGAACAAACACTGAGCACCCTGGGGCATGGCCCCAACCCCCCCTCCCATAAATAAATGAATAATTAAAATGTACTGCTTTGTCTACACACTTGGGGTCTTAGCTCAGGCTTCAACAACACAATTGGGATACAATTGGCACCTTCTCCAAAAAGATGTGTTATTCGCCACAAAAGTGTGTTACTACTCACCACCAACATCCTCCACCACTGTCCATTGCACCCTCCTGCCTCTATCCTGATGTCATTACCTTAGGTGGAATAGTGTTCTCAGAGTTCTAGAGGCTGAAAGTTCGGGGTCATGGTGCCATAGTGGTGGGTTGAGGAGGAAGTCATCCTCCAGGAACAGGAACCCTCATGCCAACCCTATGACCCAGTCACCTTCCCAATGCCCACCTCTTACATTCCCAGGGCCTGGGGTGGAGCATAGAAGGTGGGGATGGGGGACGTTTGACTCTTGGTTGCTTTAGCAGGCTCTCTGTGGGCATCCTTACCTTGTTCTTCCCTATCTAGCAGGATGTCCTGGCTGCTGTTCAGGTGGTCACTGGTTGACTTTGAATAGTATGAGTATGTATCTGGGTGTGTTTTTCTCCCTATGTGCTTGGACTTCAAAGAGGCTTAGTTTTACGGGTCTCTGGTTCTCATCAAACCTGTAAATTTTCAGCCCCTATTTCTTCACTTTTTCCTGTTCTTCTCCCCACTCTTTCTCTCTCTCTCCCTCTTCCTCTCCTCTCTCTCTTCTCTCTCTTTCTCTCTTCTTTCTCCCTCTTTCTTCTCTCTTTCCCTCTCTCTTCTCTCTCCCTCTTTCTCCCTTTCTCTCCCCTCTCTTTCCTCTCTCCCTCCCTCTCTCACTCCCTCTCTCTCTCTCTCTCCCTCTCTCTCTTCCTCTCTGTCTCTTTTTCCCTCTCTTTCTCTGTCTCTCTGTCTGCTGTCTGTCTGTCTGTCTGTCTGTCTGTCTCTCTCTCTCTCTCTCTCTCTCTCTCTCTCTCTGTGCCTCTCTCCGTACCTTTCTCTCAAGTTCACTGACCACTTCCTCTGCGTGTCTGACATGCTATTTACCTAGCACGGTGCCTTGTTCCCTCACACGTGTGGTTTCATTTCCAGTCTGGCTGGGCCTTGTCGTCCCCTCCAGGTGTCGGCTTCAATGCTTTAACCTGCACTTGCAATCAATCCTAATACGGTCTCGGTAGCTGTGTCTGCTAAATCTGATCTCTGTCTGTTATGGGTCCATTTTTCTTGACTAAATCAGATTTTCTTTATGATTCTTGTGTTTCAGCTTCTCTGCATTTCTGGACTTTTTATAACAGTCTGGACTTTTTGTAACACTTTTTAGAAATAATCCACAAACCATACAATTCATGCTTCTGACATGTACTATTAAGTGCTTAGTATTACTAAGATTTTTACTGAATTGCTATATTTAGATGCAGCCTCCAATTTTAGAAGATTTTGCTGTCCCCAAAGGAACCCCTTACCTAACAAAATTGCTTCCCAGGCCCTCCCTCCCCCATCCCCAGCAATTACCAGTCGACTTTCTAGTCATAAAAAGTTGCCTGTTCTGGAAATTTAATACTAATGGAATCATAAATAGCTGGCCTTCTGTGATGAGCCTCTTTCTCTCAGTATGTTTTTGAAACCAACCCAATGAAGTGCATGCAAGCAGTATATTTCTCCTTCTGCTCTTGCGTTGTAGATATCCGGTGCATCTCCCTTATCCATTCACCACTTGGTGGAAATTTGGGTTGTTCAGATCTATAAAATGTCTTTGGCCAGAGGGATTCTTGCAAGCCAGACTCAAGGACCCTGGGGGCTCTTCTCAGCGATCGTTGGCCAAGCAGGCCAGAGGAATTCTCACGCTCAAGGCTGCAGCTCCAGGGACCACCTGGGCCACCCACGCTGTGCCCAAGGGTCTCCAAAGCCACACTCAGTAATGCTCAGAGTGCCATGTGGTGCCAGGGATCCAGCCCGGTTCAGTCACGGGCAAGGCAAGCTCCCGGACCTCACTCCTAGCTCCCCACCCCACGGAAGCGCCATATCCAGTGTAAATCAGGAAGTTCCCCTGGCTGGATGGTGGATATTTGCCTTTCCTTTCAGTATTCATGACTTGTTCCAGAATGCAGTTACGGCCCAACAATCTGATCTTTTATGAATCTTGCTCTTCAGCATGTTAAGCAGAGCATGCTCCTGGGCTGAATATCCCCAATCCCCCGTAAAACCCTTCTCCTTTGTGTCTGTGGCCCTTGTGGGTTCTCAGGGGGCCTGGGAGTGATGGCTCGAGCCTTTCAAGCACCCTTCCCTCGCCTCACGTGTCTCCTCACTGCCTGCCCTGGCCTCCGCTCCAGGCTCTCTACCTTGTGCTCACTTTCTACAACTGTACTGCCTCTCCCTTCTGGGACCACATTCTGGGTTTTTCTCCCTGGACCATGGCCGGGACACTCAGAACCATACAGGCTCTACACTTGTGGATCAGGATTCCCTGTCCCCTTGCCAGCTCTCCCTTTCTGAGCTAGCCAGCAGCGTGGCAGTGTGACAGCATGGCAGCATAGCAGCATGGTAGTGTGGCAGTGTAGCAGCATGACAACATGGTAGTGTGGTAGTGTTGCAGTGTGGCAGTGTGGTAGTGTGGCAGCATTGAAGATGGCAGGTGGCAGCGTGGCAGTGTGGCATCATGGCAATGTGGCATCATGGCAGTGTGGCAGCATGGTCGTGTGACAGTGTGGCAGCTGACAGTGTGGCAGCGTGGTACATGGTAGTGTGGCAGTGTAGCAGCATGACAACATGGTAGTGTGGTAGTGTTGCAGTGTGGCAGTGTGGTAGTGCAGCAGCATGGCAGATGGCAGGTGGCAGCGTGGCAGTGTGGCAGCATGGCAGTGTGGCATCATGGCAGTGTGGCAGCATGGTCGTGTGGCAGTGTGGCAGCTGACAGTGTGGCAGCATGGTACATGGTAGTGTGGCAACATGGTAGTGAGCCAGCATGGCAGTGTGGCAGCTGTCAGTGTGGCAGCGTGGCACATGGTAGTGTGGCAGTGTAGCAGCATGACAACGCGGTAGTGTGGTAGTGTTGCAGTGTTGCAGTGTGGCAGCTGGCGGTGTGGCAGTGTAGTAGTGTGGCAGCATTGCAGATGGCAGGTGGCAACATGGCCATGTGGCAGCATAGCAACGTGGCAGCATGGCAGCATGGTAGTATGGCAGTGTGGCAGCGTGGCACATGGTAGTGTGGCAACATGGTAGTGTGGCAGCATGGCATGTGGTAGTGTGGCAGTGTGGCATAGCATGATTGCAGCAGGGGGAAGTGTGACAGCTGACAGTGTAGCAGCGTGGCACGTGGTAATGTGGCAACGTGGTAGTGAGGCAGTGTGGTAGTGTGGCAGCATGGCAGCGTGATAGTGTGGCAGTGTGGCAGCATGGTAGTGGATAGTGTGGCAGCAGGTAGTGTGGTAGTGTGGCAGTGTGGCAGCGTGGCAGGTGGCAGCATGGCAGCATGGCAGTGTAGCAGTGTGGCAGCATGGTAGTGTGGTAGTGTGGCAGTGGGGCAGTGTCTCTGAGTCAGCCTGTTGTTGCCTTGTGCCTGATCCTAGTGCTCTGAGGTGGAAGGTTAGTCTGGTTGGCCTGCAGAGGCACCCGGTGTGGAAAGCCCCATTTCTCAGGAGAGGAAGCCCATGCATGGCAAGCCCAGTGAGAGCTTTGTGGGGAGACCTGCAGAGAGAGGGGGTTTAACTCTGCATCTGAGGTCCCCCATGGGCGCAATGCCAATGACTCTTCCCCAGGCAGACAGGTGGCGTCAGCCCTGACTCTGGGAACGTTTGTGTCTCCTCCCACAGGTGATCAGCGAGTTTGAAGCCTCTCCCGACTCGTTTTCCTACAGAATCCCCAACCTGAGCCGCAACCGGCAGTACAGCGTCTGGGTGGTGGCAGTCACCTCGGCAGGGAGAGGCAACAGCAGCGAGATCATCACGGTGGAGCCCTTGGCCAAAGGTGGGGGCTCCCCTGCACACGGCCCTTGCAGCTCTGTCCCGCCTGAGCTGGGCCCTGGCTGTGCTGCACCCGGGGAGGGCCCTGGAGAGAGCCCAGTGGTTAGACGCACTGTGGGCCAGCAGTGCCTCAGTCTCCCTTCCCACAGCGCTCAAAGCAACACAGCTAAGACAAGACTTTGGGGACCTGGGGCCACGGCTGCTCACGCCAGTGGAGGTCCTAATGGTTCTGGGCATCCCTTCCTGACCAGAGCCCAGAGCTTTCCAGGGGTGTCTGGTCTCCACCCGCCCCCAGCAGCCCAGGATAGCAGCTTCTCTTCTCCGTCATGGACCCAGGCTCCCACTGCAGTGGCCTTCCAACTGTGCCCCATGTCTGTGTGTCCAGTGGAGCATAGCCGAGCGTCTAAGCTGGCTTCTAGCCAGGCAGTGTCCTGGGACAGCCCCTTGGCTTCTGGGGGACTTGAGTCGTGGCATGTTCACCGAGCTGGCTGTCCCTGCTGCTGTGTCACTCTGTTGATGCTCTGGTGGCCCTGCCCACTTGGGCCTCGGGTGCTGCTTCCTCCCGAGAGGCCCAGCCTTCTGCCTCTGGACCCACCAAAGAGGCTCCTGGCAGCCTCTCCACTGCCCACCCAGCGCCCTCTAGGTTTATCAGAGCGGGTACCTGCTCCTGCTCATCCTAGCGGCTACTGCTAGAGCCAGTGCAGGCCATGAGCGCGTCTGAGGGCCGTGAGCCGATGCAGGGGCCCCTGCAACTCCTCCTCCTCCTCCTTGTCTCTTCAGGGCCTTTCTATTTCGCATTACTACTGGCTCCCACGGGGAAAGGCACCTCTAAGGTGCCATGTGGGATAGTCGAGACAAATTGCTTAATAAACAGCTTTGGGAAATGATCGGGCTTGAGGAAAGCGCAGCTCAGTTCTGCTGGGCTTAGGAGACCCCAGATATTTCATCGAGGTGTCTCTGATTTAGTCTCGGAGTTAGGGGAAACGGGGCTGATGGGGCGCTTGGCTGTTGGTACGATCTCACCGCTCTCGGGTGAGGTCGGTGATCAGGGGCGGGTGTGGGTGCAGGGTCTTCGGGCTGTGCAGGAGGAGGTGAGTGGGCTGACCGGGCTCTGTCTCTGCCCAGCTCCAGCGCGAATACTCACCTTCAGTGGCACGGTGACCACCCCATGGATGAAAGACATCGCGCTGCCCTGCAAGGCCGTGGGGGACCCGTCACCAGCAGTGAAGTGGATGAAGGACAGGTAACCAGTTACCCAGTGTAGATGCCCGTGGGGAGGCGTGGGAGGGACCAGGACTCTCGTATGCTGTGTCTAATGCGTGGGTTTCACCTCCCTCTGACTCCACGCCTGGAAACCGGGGAGCCTCCCGGCGCTTTGTGGAGTTTCTTTGAATACAGAGAGAAGGTCAAGGGAGCAGAGGGAAGCTTAGCTTTTTCACTCCGAAGGATGTGATCTCTCGCCCTTCCTGTTCAGGAAAGGAGACAGCATCAGCTGGTCTGAGATGCTCGGGGTCCTCATTGAGGCCCTGAGCCCCGGACCCCGGAGTCAGGAGAGGCTGAGCTCACCTCTGCCCTGGCTCCCCCAGCCCCCTGCTCTGAGAAAGCATGTGAAGACCTAGAACGTGACTGTGCTGGGGAGATCTGGCCTCCTGTGCTCAGGGGTTATGGCCAGAGGCAGCAGCTAAGAGGGGAGGGAGAAAGTGAGTGAGAGGCTTCCTGTCCATGGAACTTTTCTGAGTGCTTTCTCCCTTCAGAGGAAGAGCTGGGCTCCGAGACCCGGGTTGAGAATCCACAAAGGAGCAGAGAAGAGATCTACATAGTTGTGCCTGAATTTCAGATCCCCAATTGTGGAGAGACCCAGTCCACACACCATAATGCAAAAGCACTGTAGCACTGTCCTCCCATTGTTCATTGATTTGCTCGAGCGGGTACCAGTAACATCTCACAACAAATTGTGAGACTTGTTGTTACCGTTTTTGGCACGTTGAATATGTCATGGGTAGCTTGCCAGGCTTTGCCGTGCGGGCGAGATACTCTCAGTAGCTTGCTGGGCTCTCAGAGAGGGGGGGAGGCATCGAACTTGGGTCAGCCGCGTGCAAGGAAACACTGTACCCACTGTGCTATCGCTCCAGCCCAATGCAAAACCAAAAGAACTTTATTACTAGCCCGAGCCAGCGCTAGCTTGAGCTAGGGTCCAAGTCTCATCCAACGGAGTGGAGTCTTGACAAGGACCCTGACTCCATATCACAAGCGGTTTATATGGGTTCAGAGTTGAGAGGCAATTTATATACTGGTCTGTCTTTAGCATTGGCCCTATTACAATGGTGGTCAGCAATTGGACAATGGTTAGCAACAGTTTCTAAGGAGGGAACGGTGACCCCCTCATGACCAGCCAGACCCAACTGCCCAATTCCTTATCTTGGCATATTACTCAACTGGAGGGTCTACCAGCAACTGCAAGTTCTGCTTCCAGGAAACAGAAACTGAGGCCTAGCTGAGACTTAATGTTAGTTGCAGCTTGTCATGGCATTGGTTTTGCCCTCACAACATGGATTCCTGAGAGTTGCTCTTGCCCAACAAAAGCCAGAAACGCTTGAAACTCGGGTCTTAATCTATGTCTGGACTCAGCATCTCATTTCTGCATCACTTAGCCTCAGAGCACCATCCACAGACCCAAGGTCAAGCCTTCTGGATGTGGGCTGACCCTAGGGAGCCAGGGGACACGCTCCCACTCTCACTGTGTTGATGAGGAGGCTTCAGAGGTCCATTCACCCCACCCCCACCTCGGAGATAGCGCCCTTCCTGCTGACTGTGTCTGGGGGGGTCGTCTCCAGGCCCTGTCCCCACCCGCCAACCCTCACACAGAGAAACAGAGAACAAACAAGTTCTGTGGCTGGGGGTTTTGTTGTTGTTTTTTTCACAAAGTTCAGGCTTGGATGAGTTTTGACCCCATTAACCATCACTTAGTTCTTCTATGCCTAACCTGTGGTTGTCGAGTCTCGATGGTTTCTGCCAAGCTCAGCCAATGGGGATTGTAATCTCTTTAATCTGTGCCCTTTTCTTCCTGTGAGGCAGTAACGGGACCCCCAGCCTGGTGATGATTGATGGGAGACGGAGCATCTTCAGCAACGGGAGCTTCGTCATCCGGACCGTGAAGGCCGAGGACTCGGGCTACTACAGCTGCATTGCGAACAACAACTGGGGCTCTGACGAGATCATCCTGAATTTACAAGTGCAAGGTACAGAACCCAGGCCCCGGGCCCCGATGTTCTGTCACGGAACCGGGGCTCCAGTGCTCTGTACGGAATCCGGGCTCCAGAACTACTAAGCTCTGTATGTGTGACCAGGGGTGAAGAGTAAAACCAAGTAAAAATCCATCTTTACGAAGAGCTGTTTCTATTTTAAAAGAATATATGTCTGTTTGGAAAAAAATAGGGCTACACAATAATACAAAGCATCTTTAATCCCAAGAGAACACAGAGTGTTTGGGTGTGTACACAGAATCCCTTCCCTGGATGTGTGCGACTCTGAAAATGTTATTCTGAATAGCTTTCACCAGTGACACGATTTATAAGATGTGTGTAGGAGGTAGAAAACACCAAGACGAAAGCTGGATCCCATGATCGCACACAATGAATAAAAATTTTTTTTTAAAAAGGCCATTTACAGGAACTCTAAGCAGAGAGCTATAATCCTTGGGCAAGTATGTGCTCAGTACTGCACATAATAAAATATGTGGTAGGGCGTTTGCCTTGCACGCAGCCAACATGGCCGACCCAAGTTTGATGACCGTGGCAAACCCAGAATGTCCGTGTTAGTGGTCCTTGGGGGGACCCGGTATGAACCCAGTGCTCGATTATTAGTGGGAAAACAGAATGCATGCTTCTCTGCCTAGCAGTGCTCCTGCACTGAGAAGCCACAGCAGGAAAACGAAAATCAGGATTGTGCCCAGGGAGGATAATATTCTCTCTTTTTTAAAAAATAACCAAAAAAACTGATCTGGAATTTCAAGTAAATGGCTGGGGTGAGAATGAATGACTGGGCCTTTCTGAGCACACTGCTCTATGTCTGGGCCCATCTTCCTGGTCTCTGGGTTCTTCTCTTGGGAACAGAGAACAGTGTTTTCAGGGATGCTTTCTCTCCCACTTGGACTCTGATTCTCAGTTGCCTCAGTGTGTCTGTTTATCCTTAGAGATGATCCCCAATAACACGGAGACCCATTGGTTAGGAGTGTGCATTCTGCAGCCCTGGTATAGATGTTCAAGTGTGTGGGCTGCTTAGGGCCCACCTTGAAATCCAGGAGCAGCATATGTGTGTGTGGTTGTGTGTGTGGTTGTGTGTGTGTGTATGTGTGTGTGTGTGTCCGCATGTTGCATCTTGAGGGAGGAGCTCAAAAAACAGGAATGTTCGGGGCTGAAGCAATAGTACTGCGGGTAGGGCGTTTGCCTTCACGCAGCTGACCCAGGTTCGATTCCCAGCATCCCATATGGTCCCCTGAGCACCAACAGGAGTAATTTCTGAGTACAGAACCAGGAGTAATCCCTGTGCATTGCCGGGTGTGACCCAAAAAGAAAAAAAAAAAGGAATGTTGCAGCTCATTTTCCCTCTCGCCCCTCTTCCTCTGACACATTCACATCCTGGGAGAAAAGAGCTAAGGATTGCCATTTGACTTTCTCCTCTAAATCACAGCTAAATTGCAGCATAGAATAATGCAGATATCCTTAGCGCATTTAAAGAGATTTCAGTGAGTGATGAACAACTCATAAATCTAAGGAATCTGTGAGGAAATGAGAATCTGTGAGGAAATGAGTTAGCAAGAAATCCAAGTAGGAATGGAGTTGAATTGTCTTTAAATAATAGATTCACTCCCTTCTATCTCTTTAGCCCAGGATATCAACTAAATAGACATTTTGACAGAAGTGAATTGCATATTTTGGCAACCTAAAACACTTATTTAATAAATGGCTGTTGGAAATGATTTGGTAAATGACTGTTAGAGGAGACTAGAGATGAGAAAAACTGATTCTTGTTTTCTAAAAACTGTTTCCTATTCAGTCCCACCAGATCAACCCCGGCTCACCGTGTCCAAAACCACTTCCTCCTCCATCACTCTCTCTTGGCTCCCCGGAGACAATGGCGGCAGCTCCATCCGAGGTAAGGTGGATCCGGTCATCCACAGCAGCTGATTGTGATTATCCACACACTGCTAAGTGCCACACCTCCACCCAATCATGTGCGTTCCTGTAGGTCTCCAAAAGCACAGCCTGTAATTATTCCATTTTCACAACAATAAGCCACGTGTCTAATTTTTTTTTAATAATGTTGGAGTGCTATCCGAGTTCGATTCCTCCGCCCCTCTTGGAGAGCCCGGCAAGCTGCCGAGAGTATCTCGCCCACACGGCAGAGCCTGGCAAGCTACCCGTGACATATTCGATATGCCAAACACAGTAACAACAAGTTTCATGATGGAGACGTTACTGGGCCCACTCGAGCAAATCGATGAACAAGGGGAGGACCGTGACCGTGAATGTTGGAGTACTGCTATTTGTTCAGCCATTGATTAAGCTGATTGAATTGGGCATGAACTCCACATTACTTTTTTATTTTATTGTATCATCGTGAGATAGAGTTACAAAGCTTTCATGCTTGAGATTCAGTCGTACAAAGATGGAACACCCATCCCTCCACCAGTGCACATTTTCCACCACTGATGTCCCCAGCGTCCCGCCCCTCTCCATCCTAGTCCTCACCCTGCCTCCTTGGCAGACAGTTTCCCCAATATTCTCTCTCTAATTTTGGGCATTATATTTTGCTCAAATTTTCCCACCACTATTTAAGCCTACCTGCCAGGGGCAGATGCTAGATAATTTATTTTTCATTACTCATTTTGAATATCATGAGAACTCTAATGGCCACAATGTAAATGTAAATTTCTAGATTGTAAATGGTTGGGTTCCAGAGATATCTCTATATGGCACTAATACATTTTGGAATTCAATTGGGAGTCTCTGGGCCAGGGCTGCTGGCATGCTAAGATGGCACCAGGAGGCAAATAGTGAGTGCCACACATATGTTTTTATTGCCTTGAAACTCAAGTCATCCACCTGAGGAGTCCCATTCACAAAATTCTTGTCCAACCCATCTGAGTGACATACATGTTAGCCAAGGTCTCTCTCTGTCCCAGCGTCCACACACTGCTTCTTTCCTGTGTTGGCCCTGCCATGTGCATCATTGGTTCCCAGGAGAGGCATTAAGTAGCCACTCAATGAAGTAGCCAACAGGATCTTTTGGCCTATAGAGGACCATCAGGTGGAGAACCTGAAGTCTGGACGGGAAGCCAGCTGTGTGCATGGAGCTTTGGGGAAAGGAATTCAGGAAGCTGGTACTAAGTGAGGAGGGGAGATTGTCCTAGCTCTGTGGGATGGGGAGGGCATTGCCCTGAGCACAGGTTAACTAGGAAACTGAGGAAGCCCACGGAAGGGACTTGAGGAATGTGAGCATCAGGCTGAGTGAGGAAGGGTGTTCTCAGGGGAGCCCTGACTGGTAGACTTGAGCTTCCTAAGGCCGAGGACAGACTCCTGAAGGGGCAGGGAGAAGATGGAGCTGGAAATCCCTGGATGTTTTAAGAGGAAGCCAGTGGTGTGCTGGACCCCTCCAGCATTCCGGCTCATAGGAGCACCTGATTACGGTTCTTCATAGCCTGATGCTCGGGGACCCCCAGCTGGGAATGTTTACACACCGCAAAGTCGTATTGGCTCCCACTCCAAGTGCTCTCTTTCCCCCAAGAGCCGGTTGTTAAATATTTATTAGCACTCCACCGGGTGTGGGGAGGATCTTCCCTTTTCTCAGGAAAAGGAGAAGGTGAGATTATTTTTTAAAAATAGTCGGATGATTAGGGGTGAGGATGCACTGTGGGCTTGAGGAGCGTGGGAAAGCTTCGTAACGGCTGCCTTGTGACATGCACAGGGAGTCATTAATAGATGAGCAAAGTCGTTGCCACGTGGGAGCGAGGACCCAGCTGCAGGCAAATTGCACAGATTGTCATGGTCACAATCATCACAGCAGAGTGACTTTCCCGAGTCATCTTGGACAGCTGGGCAGAGCCATGGATGGCAAGGGCCGGGGTGAAAGCCAGAAGAAGAAGGAGATGCACCAGCCTCCTCCGGTCACGTGGCTGAAGGTCCTAGGACACTTAGAGAAACTGAGGGAAGAAATGGGGCATGAGGGGAAGGGTCCAAGGGGACCTGGACCCCTAGAACAAGCCTTTTGGTTGCCTACAGATGAAACCATCAGGGCAGACGGTCTGGGAGGTAAAGCTCATGTAGTGATGGAGATAAAGTTTCCAAGTTAACGGGGACCCTGAAACGCAGTGGTGACCAAACCATGAGCGTGGGTGTTCCCATTATCCAGATTAGAAACGCTTGCTGGATAGAGACAGATGGCAGATGGCAGACGTGTCACTGCCCGGAGCATCCTCGCTCTGAGAGAACCGAGTGGAGCCAGAATGTGAGCATGGAGGCTGAGTGTGCATGTCCCCCAGCCCGCCTGGCAGCTTTGAGGGAGGGGTGCATGGGTACAACCCAGGGGAACAGAAGAGGAGGCCCAGCTCAGGAAGAAGGAGCCGCAGAGGCCAGAGCCGCAGAGGCCAGAGGAGAGGGAGAGAAGATGGAGCCCTGTTGGACCCCGGGCAGAGGACCCAGTTGAGGGGTCAACCAGGTGAGAGGCTGAGGTCACTCAGGTGAGAGGCTGGGGTCACTCAGTGGCACCAGTTAGGGGTGAGGAGCATTGGCTCAGGGCAGGGATGTTTTTAACTGTGTTCGCCATGGAAGGAGATTCTGGGGCCTGTGCAGAAGTCTGCCCAGACAGAGACATTGAGCTGCGCTGAGTGGGCAGCACGTGTATGCTCTGGAAAGGGGCCCAGGAGAAGCAGGAAGCAGCATGGTTACCCCGAGGGGGGTCCAACCTGGGAGGTGAACACATGGGCTCTGGGTTGGAATCTTATCTTGGGGGCCTCGGGATGCTCAGCTAACTGCCTGCAAGCCCTTCATCCACACGAGGAGACGATGAGGTGAAGCTCATGTAGTGATGGAGTTAAAGTTTCCAAGTTAACTGTCTGGGAGGGTTTCCTGGAGGGCCTGGGAGAAGGGCCAGGGCAGTGCTGGACCTGGAAAGAGTGTTCCAGAAGCAGCTAGTTGCCGGGAGAAGGAGGACAGAGGCAAGGGGGAACAAAAGTGAGAATGGCCGCTGAGCCATGGTCACTCCCTGGGGCCCAGTCCATGACCATGATCCATCCTCAAGTGTATGGGCATCAGGGCTGGGCACTTTGGCTTTGTTGATGGCTTTGCCCTGGTCAAGGGGTTTAGTTCGCTTACAAATCTCTCTCTGCTTTAAAGGCCAGAGAGCTCACGCAGAGGTTAAGGTGCTTGGCCCCTAGTGCCATACACTGTCCCCTGAGCACCACTAGGGGGCACTAGGTTTAGCCCCTGAGCACCTCTGGGTGTGGCCATCAACCAGGAAAACAATATGGTGATAATTTGAAAACAACAACAACAACAACAAAAAAACATAACTCTGCTTGACACCACACCTGTTTTTAAGGATTGGGACAAGTGGGTTCTCAAGGGCAGATTTTCTGTTCTTTCTCCATGAATTTTGGGAAGGGGGTATAGGAGGTGGTTTTATTGTGGACTCACAAAGCCTCCCTGTCACCAGAATATATCACCATTGCCTGTGGTTTGCCTTCCTCACAGTCAGTCATCATTATTTTATACCAGTTCTTGCGGTTTCATTCAGCCACGGGGGAAATTTCCTGGAATCCAAGCTGTTATCCTAGAGTACAAATGTTCTTGGGAAGATGAGCTGCTTCTTCTTCTTCTTCTTCTTCTTCTTCTTCTTCTTCTTCTTCTTCTTCTTCTTCTTCTTCTTCTTCTTCTTCTTCTTCGCATTTTAAAGAAATTTTAATGAATCACTGTGAGATTCAGTTACAGATTTTCGTGATTACATTTCAATCAAATAATGCTCAAGAACCCATCCCTCCACCAGTACCCATTCTCCACCACCAATGTTCCCAATGTCCATCCCACCAGACCCACCCATTTCCACTCCCTGCCTCCATGGCAGGCACGTTCCCTCTTTCTCTCTCCTTTTGGGTGTTATGGTTTGCAATACAGGCACTAAGCAGACATCATGTTTGGTCCATAGTCTACTTTCAGCACGCATCTCCCATCTCGAGCCATCCCTCCAACCATCATTTACTTAGTGTCTCTTCTCCATCCCACCTGCCCTTTCCCCCAGCACATGAGATCAGTTTCCAAGCTGTGAAGTGATCCTCCTTAACCTTATCTCTACTGTCCTTGGGTGTCAGTCTCGTATTATGTTATTTTATATCCCACAAAATGAGTGCAGCCCTTCTATGTCTGTCCCTCTCTTTCTGACTCATTTCACTCTCCATGTTGATCCACTGATATGCAAATTTCATGGTTTCCTCTTTTCTAACAGCTGCATAGTATTCCATTGTGTAGATATACCAAAGTTTCTTTAACCAGTCATCTGTTCTCGAGCAGCCCCTTCTTAGAACGCTCACGCTGTACAGAACGTGAACAGTGCCTCACTTGGGGCTGTGGGCTACTCGCATGGCCTGGACCATCCTTTGCTTCCCCCATGGCCTGGACCGTCCCTTGCTTCCCCAGGCTACATCCTGCAGTACTCGGAGGACAACAGTGAGCAGTGGGGCAGCTTCCCCATCAGCCCCAGCGAGCGCTCCTACCGCCTGGAGAACCTCAAGTGTGGCACCTGGTACAAGTTCACCCTGACGGCACAGAACGGGGTGGGCCCCGGGCGCATCAGCGAGATCATCGAGGCCAAAACGCTGGGGAAAGGTGAGCGGGTCTGCCCCTCGGAGCTCCCTGTTCTCAGTCTCCAAGAGGGGAAGTGTCACCCCAAAGGATGGGCAGGCGTGGGTGTTAGCGGTTTGCTGGTGCAGCTGAACTTGGTGATTTCTGAGACAAACCCAGCGGTGATTGTGGGGGGAGCTGGGCAGGTCCTGGCTGCCCTCTGGTTCTTTTGGTAATGTCTTGACTTTCAGTGATAAAGAAGTACGTCCATTTGCAAACCAAGGGCTTTCCCACCAGAGTTTCAGACCTTAGAGTCCCCGAGGGCCATGTGGTCAGGAGCGGGGGTGTTTGCCTTCACACCGGCTTGGCCCAGTCAGGACCTGGCTCTCGCCCCTTCTATCTAGAATGGTCACTTGTCCTCATTGCCCTGATGTTCACATGGAGATCGGGATGAATTGTCACTCTTTCATGGGAGTGGGATTTTTTGTTGGAAGTATCGTCCCCAAGAAAATGCCGTTCCATGGGTGACATTTGTAATGGGAGACCAGAGGTGGACATGAGCGTGGGCAGGTGATGATAAGGCCATGGGTGGGCTTCACCTCTGGCTCCTCCTTAGTGGGGCATCCTGGATGACAGGAGAGTGGGAAAAGGGAGACTGAAAAAAAAAAGAAAGAAAAGAAAAACAAATACATAAAAGGGCCAGAGTGATAACACAGCGGGTAGGGCATTTGTCTTGCACGCAGCCGGCCTGGGTTCGATTCTTTGCATCCCATATGGTCCCCCAAACACCTCTAGGAATAATTCCTGCGTGCAGAGCCAGGAATAACCCCTGATCACTGCCGGGAGTGACCCAAAAAGCAAAACAGAAAAAAAAAGAAAAGAAAGAAATGGGAGACTGAACTTTAGGCTTGGGTGATGCTCAGTGAGGGTTCCGAGGGGACCAGACTCATTTCTGCAAAAATCTTTCTGACTCCAGTGGGAAGCATTTGATGATGCAAGGGGTACCTGGGGCCAGGCCCAACTCCCCCCTGCTCTGAGAAAGGTCCTTCCAGCCGTGGAAATGGGTCAGCACTCAGCGCTGGTGGGTCTGAACCAGGAGCGAAACCTAGAGGAAACACAGCAGGGTCCTTCATGGCATCCACAGTGCATGGAGAGAAACACACTCCTCACCTCCCCTCACCCCTCCCACTCCTCTCTTCACCATGGCCCGAGAGTCTACTGGTCGCTAAGTTCCCCTAGGGAGGGGTCACAGTCACCACCCTGTGCCCAGGCCTGAGCGCTCCCCCCAGGGGGTGGCAGCCTGGACCTGCTCTGACCCCTGCGAGCTTCCCCCAGTGGGCTGGCAGCTGGGGGCCCTCTCTGACCCTGCACCCCCCCACCTCCCCGGCAGAGCCCCAGTTCTCCAAGGAGCAGGAACTGTTCGCTAGCATCAACACCACCCGCGTGCGGCTCAACCTCATTGGCTGGAACGATGGCGGCTGCCCCATCACCTCCTTCACACTCGAGTACAGGCCCTTTGGCACCACAGTCTGGACCACGGCCCAGCGCACCTCCCTGTCCAAGTCCTACATCCTGTACGACCTGCAGGAGGCCACCTGGTACGAGCTGCAGATGCGGGCCTGCAACAGCGCCGGCTGCGCCGAGAAGCAGGCCAACTTCGCCACACTCAACTATGATGGCAGTAAGCACTCCCTGCCCCCTCCTGGGTCACCCCTGTCCCAAGGCATGGCGCGACCAGAGCCCATGGTCCCCGTGTCGGGATGGGGGCCGACAGCCCCTTCCCTGCAGGGTGGTGCTCCAGCACTGAGGAATCTTATCAGGAAGTCAGAGTCGGAACCTCAGGCATGTGTAGGGTGAGCGTGTGCCCCCCTGAAATTCTTTCTGGCCTTGGTGAACGCCTGGGAACCAACATAGCTTTGTGCCCCCCTGCCCCGAGCCCCCACCATCCCAATCCACACCACAGATTTCTTTCTTGATCCCTGTAAAAGCATTTTCCCCCACAGTACCAGAGTTTGTGCCAGTCTCTGAGCAGAACGAGGAGTACAGAGAAAGGAATGCTGTCGGGTATTATTGCAAACACATGAACAGAGGCATGTGACAATTGCAAGACATGCGTGCACACATGTATAGTCATGCATAACAGCTAGCACATGCAGGCTTGTCTGAACTCTGACAACACCTCCATGTATCCTGCTTTCCACACATACATGCACAGACAAACACAATGCGTGCACCCATAAATGCAGATTTGCATACACATTTCCATGGTGTACACGTCATCACATGCAAACACAGGCATAAATACCCACAGAGCTTTCACTCTACACACAGAGAACTTGGAACCCAAACATAGTAAACATATATGTGCACACACACATGCAGCGCATACACATATGTGCCTACATGTGTTCTCACACGTCTACTTTGCATGAGCGTGGGCAAACCAAAAGGGGTGCTTCCTAGTGTCTGGTTGTCCAGGTAAGTGAGGTAGATTTCTGCCCCTCTTTCGACAGCTGTAATGTGGGGTCCTTTCTTCTCACAGGGCATGTGCCTAGCAGGTGTGTGTTCCTTCCCTGGGCAGGTGTTGGCAGGGCCAATGTTTGCTCATGAGAGTTGTCATACGGGCATAACCTCATTCATTGTGTGCCTCAGGGGCCTGCAGGATCAGCTCTCCTCTGGAGTGTTCTATGGGGACAGTTCTACCCCACTAAGACAAGCGGGTGCAGGAACCCAGGGGCCCCACGCTCCTCCTGGACATGGGCCCTGAACAAGAGCCACTTCTTTCTGCCCTGAAGCAGGTGGACACCCCTCCACTCCTCCCTCCCCAAAAGCTCCTTCCTGGGTTCTTTCTGCACAGCACCCAGGGGCACCCAGCATTTCAGGGAAAGTAGCAAGGTCCTGGGGCTGTTCTCAAAGATGCTTCCATCAGCCCGAGGCTCTGCAGAGAGCAGGACCCCAGTCCAACGCCCCTGCGGGCACTCGCCACCTGGGCCAGCCCTCTTGGAAGGAAGGACCCGCGCCTGACACTGGCCCTGGGCCACAGGCTTCCTCCGAGCCCAAGAGGGGAAGGTCAGAGCATCCGTTTCTTGCCTTGGGTTCAGGGCTTGGAGAATCATGCCCAGGCTCCAAGCACCGCTAGTCTGTAGCTCAGGATTTCCTTTGCGACTGCTCATCTGCAGAGTCCAGACGGTCTCTCTCGCTTCCAGGGGGCCCCACAGGCTTCCCACGCAGCCTGCCCACTTGGGACAGGATTTCAGAGTCGATCACCCAAGTCCAGTGAGCTGGAGGCACTTTTCTGAAGTCGGAAGTGATGGCGTCACCCTAAGAAATGAGACTCTTGAGTTACATTTTCCCTGGGGAGGAGAAAAAAAAGATGATGGATTTTTGGGAAGCCAATTTCACGGATCTATGGCTTTAATATCTCTGTGTCACATCTGCCTGGAGAGATTTTTATTTTTTATTGGGAGGAAAAACAAATAGTGGCAATTAGGCCCCTGCGTCTCTGCCCTTAGCGCCAGCTCTTCCCCCACCCCAGCTGTCTTGGACCCTCGCTCTCACTTTCCCTCCCGCTGTCTCTGCAGACACCCCCAATACACCCTGGGGGAACCCCTAAGCATCGCTAGATCTGGGGCCCAGCCCCTCACACTGTGTGCTTGACAGAGAGCAGGAGGCCCGAGGTTCTCCCCTTCCTGCTCTGCCCACTCAGGCAGGAGAGCCTGGTCTTTGCTCCACAGGAAGTTGCATTATTTTTGCACGGAGTTCCAAATGTACAGCTTCCTGTTCCTCACCTTCCATAGAAATCCATGAAGGGGTGTTTGTCACATGCCCCTCTAAGGAGACTCTCAAGGTCTGCGTCCCTGTGGGCTGAGCTGCATTCGGCTTCTGCAAAGATGCCAGGAGGGGCAAATTAGGTCTCACGGATACCGCAAAGGGCCGGGACAGCCAACCACACAGCATCTGGTCCCCTGCCTCCACCTCTACACCCCAGGGTCCCCCAGCACCGCCAGGAGGATCCCAGAGCACCGAGTCAGCAGTGGCCCCTGGTATACCAGATGCGGTCTCAAAACCAAAATAAAATTAATAAATGTCTTAAAGAGTAAAGAATCTAGTCTCCTTAGATTTTTGTCTTAACATTCAAAATGAGGGGCTGGAACTATAGCACAGCGGGTAGGGCGTTTGCCTTGCACGCAGCCAACCTGGGTTCGATACCCAGCATCCCATATGGTCCCTTGAGCACCGCCAGGGGTGATTCCTGAGTGCAAAACCAGGAGTAATCCCTATGCATCGCCAGGTGTGACCCTCCCCCCAAAAAACAAAAAAAATTCAAAATGACCCATTTTTTTTTCTGGAATATTCACTATGCCTGATCCTGGAGAAGCTGAGTCAAAGGCCTCTGTGGTTCCTCTTTGACGAGTTGTAGGTGCTGGACTATAGCCTGGATATTTTCAGGTAGATCTGCTCTTGAACCTGCACCTTGCATCCTGGGCTCAAGTGATAGCACAGTGCGTAGGGTGTTTGCCTTGCACGCGGCCAACCCGGGTTCAATTCCCAGCATCCCCAAGTACCACTAGGAGTAATTCCTGAGTGCATGAGCTAGGAGCAACTCCTGAGCATCGCTGGGTATGACTCCCCCCCCCCCCCACCCAGAAAAAGACCATGCACCCTGGGCCATCTCCTGCAGAAACTACTGTCCAGTTCTCAGACCTATTATTCCATCTTTGCTCTGCCTACCCTGCTCACCAGTGACCTCTGTCCATGATGCCAGGACGTCCATACAAGTCGCCTCCCTCAGTCCTCAGCCCGGGCATCTCCCTGCCCGTCCGCTATGAACCTAAGAGTGGGCAGTGCCGGTATGAGGGAGTGAGTTGAGGGTGAGGGGAGTGAGCAGGTCCAGTGACCTACCAGGACCGAGTAAAGTGTCCTCCCCTGGACACCCCTGGGTCCCAGACATGACTTTGGGAACCCTCATCCCCAAGCCTTCAGCTTCGCCTCCCTCACAGCCACCCATGTGACCATGCCACCCTGCCTGCAGGTACCATCCCTCCGCTCATCAAGTCGGTGGTGCAGAGTGAAGAGGGGCTGACGACCAACGAGGGGCTTAAGATGCTGGTGACCATCTCCTGTATCCTGGTGGGCATCCTGCTGCTGCTCGTGCTCCTGCTGGTGGTGCGGAGGCGGCGGCGGGAGCAGAGGCTCAAGAGGCTGAGAGGTGAGTGCGTGCATGTGTCTAGTTGCAGGGCGAAGACTCAGCCATAGGGAACACCTTGTCCCCGCGCCTGTCCCCCCTACCTGCTCCCCCATGAGAGATTTCTGCAACAAGACTGTCGGACTCAGGGCAAAACCTACAAAGGTGACTTTGGGTCGGTGCTAAAGGACTGCAGACCAGCCTGTTCCCAGGCTCTGTGCCCTCCATGACTGCAGGTGGACCCTCGTGTTGACACCTGCTTCCGGACCCCACTCCCAGGGATGGGCCCCCTATGCCAGCGAGGCCATAATTGGGGCTGCCTTTGGAAAGTCTGGTGTGGTTTGCTCTGAGAAGGACGAGGGTGTTCTTGCCGGGAAGAGGCACTGGAGGGCTGAGCACCTGGGAGAGCGTTAGCAGAGTCGAACTAGACCCAGGGCTGTCTAGGATTCTGCGGATGCAGTGAGGAGCAGAGACACCCCGGGAGCTGGTCTTATCGTTCACGTGTCTGGCGCTGTGCTGCTGGTGCCAGGTTACTTGCAGCCTGGACACTGGCCCTGGTTTGCTCTGGTGCTTCAGTTAAGGGACAGAGTCCTCCCCACATGCAGCCTGCATGGGGCAGGTGTGCCCAGGCCTCCCTGGCCAAGCCCCTCTGAGTGAGACTTACGTGCCTGCTGTCCTGTAGTCCTATGAGGGCACATGGACTGAGGCCAGGAACATTGAAAAGAGTCCTCAGGGCAGGGCTAGAGAGACGGTGGGAAATGGGCATGGGGCTTACATGGCCCAGGCTGCCCTGGGTCCATCCCCAGCATCCATACAGTCCTCCAATCCTCACCATGAGTACTCCTTGAGCACTGCTGGATGTGACCCAAAGCCTGAAAAAAAAAACAAGCCAAACACAACTCCCAGTTGCAGTGGGGGTAGTATGGTGGTACTTCCCTCTAAAATATCTCAGTGACACCACAAAGGGCTCTTCTGTAGGTACAGGAATTCCTGACTTCACCACCTTGATAGGTTCTTCGAGATGGAGTCTTTAATTAAAATAACATATTTACAACCCAGTTGACCAGACTCATTGGCATCAACAAGAATTCAGCTCCCATGCAGACTTTGGGTCACATTAATATCACCAAACTTCCATGGAAAGACCTCAAACACCGCTAAGGAATACCCCAAACACTGTCAAGAAAGACCCCAATCTCCTTTGAGAGTTAAGAATAGCCAGGAGTGACCTGCCACTTATTTTCCAACTGCTTAGCTCAGGGCGGAGGGGAGCAGAACCCATCCTGGCCACTCAGTGCACGGACGGTACCCTGGACGAGATGGTGTCTCTCCACTACAGGGTGTATGTACACACACACACACACAGGTACTCTCTACTTACATGCATGTACCCTCAGTTTCACACTCATGCTTACAGCCACACACTCACATACTCACACTTAGATATACAGTCATATACACACACTCAGATATATACACTCACACCCAACCATTCACACACACTCAGATACATATCAGATACTCATACACACATACTCACACACCCAAATACTTACATACTCAAAATGCACACACTGAGATACACACATACTTTCATACTTACACACTCACACCCTGATACTTAGACACTCGGAGACACATTCACACTCACACAAGTCAGCTACTCACATCCAACACACGCAGATCCATATTCAGATACTCATTCACACCTAAACGCGCATCCACACTTACACATTCAGATACTCACGCAAACACATCCTCAAACTCACTGACTCAGATGCACCCATGCTGAAACCCTCATACTCAGATACAGTGAGACTCACGCTCATGTAGCCTCCCACCATGCCTCATGCATTTGCACTGGGGCAACAGAGCGAGCCCAGGAACATCACCAGCACATGCTGAGGGGCTGAGGGGTGGGAGGAAGGCGGCCCCCCTGAGGAAGCCTGTGTGGACAGTGGTTCATGATACCCAGGGGGGCTGAGAAGTTCCCTCTGCATGAGCTGTGTCATGTTCTATCTACAAGTGCCCATCCCCAGAACACCAAGCGAATGTAGCTTGAAAGACAGACTCCCCTGCTCTGGACCTCAAGGACCAGCTAATCCTCACTGGCTCCTTAAAAAGGGAGAGGAGGGGAGGGCTGGAGTGATAGTACAGCGGGTAGGGAATTTGCCTTGCACGTGGCTGACCCAGGTTTGATTCCCAGCATCCCATAAGGTCCCCTGAGCACCGCCAGGAGTAACTCCTGAGTGCAGAGCCAGGAGTAACACCTGTACATCGCCAGGTGTGACCCAAAAAGAAAAAAAAAATCAAAACAAAACAAAAACACAAGGAGGGGGAACAGAGGACTTGTATGTGGTGCCTGGGACATTTTTTAAAGACCTACAGTTGGGGCTGGAGCAATACCACAGTGGGTAGGGCGTTTGCCTTGCATGGGACTGACCCGGGTTCTATTCCCAGCATCCCATATGGTTCTCCAAGCATCGCCAGGAGTAATTCCTGAGTGAAGAGCCAGGAGAAATCCCTGTTCATCACTGGGTGTGATCCAAAAAGCAAAAAAAAAAAATGCCTGGGACATTTTTAAAAGACCTACAGTTGGTTCATTTCTGTGTGTTCCTAAGGGTTTGGTAGCAGACGGTTTCCACGTCCAGGTGAAGCTTCCAGCATGCCCCACTCCATCCTATATCCAAGCTTCTGCGCCCTCCCGCCCAGGTGTACTGTTCACGCATTACAGTTTCCCGCACTTCCCTAGTCTTCCTATAACCTAGCAGCCCTCTCCATGCTTGGGCGTTCATTCTCCATCATCCCCAGCGATTCAGAGAGGTGGCACCATCCAGACAGCCTCCTGGCACGGTCCCAACACTGCCTTTGTTATGTTGGCATTTCCCCTTCTAGACAGCACTACGTTGTAGCTAATACATCACCTCAGAGAGCTGGACCTTTCATCCCCGGAAACAGTTTGGTTTTCTTTGTGCCAGAGAAAGAATAGATCCGAGGTATAAGGGTCAGCAGGAGGAAGGGACATTCTGGAACAAAGATGCAGCAGCCCAAGAATTCCTGAGGAGCAGCTGACCAGGGCCCAGCGGGCCCTGCAGAATGTGGGGGACAGGTGCTGAAGGCAGGTTTCGAAGGCAAGGCTTGTCTCACAAGAGTGCTGACAACTGGGGCAATGCTTAGTTCTGGATCAAGCAGTAAAATACTCCAGCTTTGGGTCCTCTCTCTCCCCCAAACTCAAAGGACTCTGGGATTAAGAAGCAGAGGCAGCATTTGTGGAATATAAAATAATATAATATGAGACTGACACCCAAAGATAGTAGACATAAGGGCCAGGAAGATTGCTCCATAGTTGGAAGCCTGCCTCATGAGCTGGAGGAGAAGGCAGCTGGGATGGAAAAGGGATCACTGAGTCAACGATGGTTGGCGGGATCCCTCAGGATGGGAGATGTGTGCTGAAAGCAGATAAACAGACCAAACATGATGGCCTCTCAGTATCTGTATTGCAAATGATAATGCCCAAAAGTAGAGAGAGAGAGTATGGGGGAAATTATCTGCAGGGGGAGGGTTGAGGGTTGGAAAGGAAAGGACGGGGATACTGGGGACATTGGTGGTAGAGAATGTGCGCGGGTGGAGGGACGGGTGTTCAATCATTGTATGACTGAAACGCAAACATGAAAGCTTTATAACTATATCTCAGGGTGATTTAATTTAAAAAAAATTGCAGAGGCAGTCTGGCCTTGGCTTGCTGTTTGGGGTGTGGTGAACCGTCTCTGGGTGGACTAGGTTTCTTCTTTCCTTTGACTCTCATTTGATCGGCCCACAGCAGAGCCTTAGGAATGAATGATTTGGACCCCAAACCCGGCTGGACAGTCCCAGTGTGGGGACAATATGCCTAAGATCTGTCCTTCACTGCCCATCATCTTCTCCTCATTCACGTGCTGAGAAGTCACCCCAGTGGCCTTTCCTTTCTGTATGTCCACTATAGGATCTTTACCTGCACACACCCTCGAACCCCTGGCCTGCTCTCTGCAACACTGCTGTGTCTACATAGAGACATCCCCCTTATTCTACCAGCACCAACCCAGCCCCCACTTTCAATATTTTTAAGCTTTCTCTCCTGTACTTGTAAGCTGTCTTCATGCCAGCAGAGCCCCTCTTACCTTCCCAGTGGGCCCTGTGATCTGGGGGAGGAGCTGACTCCATCCACGACATCATGCCAGGTAGGCATAGAGCCTGAGAGAAACCCAAAGGCACAGAACATGGTAATTTGGCTGCCATGCACCAGGGCAGTGTCTTCAGAAACCCATCAGCAGAGCATTCCTGTGTATTTCTGCTTGAGTCTGGAGAGAAAGCGGGTCACTAAGACCCCGGCCCAGCCCTACAGAAACCCACACTCGAGTGGCAGTGATAATGGTTTATGAGGGGAACTCACATCTCTGGACCAGGGAGAATGTTCTAGAAAAGGGTTGGCTCCAATAAGGACTGTCCTAGTTTTTTGGGTTTTTTTTTCTTTTCTTCTTCTTTGTAAAATTTTTCTGAATCTATGTGACACATGGTTACAAAATTGATTATGATTGGGTTTCAGTCCTACAATGTTCCAACACTTGTCCCTCCATCAGTGTACATTTGCCACTACCAGTGCCCCCGTTCTCTCTCTCTCTCTCTCTCTCTCTCTCTCTCTCTCTCTCTCTCTCTCTCTCTTCTCTCTCTCTCTCTCTCTCTCTCTCTCTCTCTCTCTCTCTCGTCTCTCCTTTTGGGAATTATGGTTTTCAATATAGGTAGTGAAAGGTCATGATGCTTGTCCCTTACTTACTTTCAGCACTCATTTCTTATCCAGTGATCAATTACAGCTAGCATTGTCATAGTGATCCCTTTTCCATCCTAACTGTCCTCCCTATCACCACTTGTGGTAAGCTTCCAACCATGGGCTGGTCCTTCGGGCCCTTCTGTCTACTGTCCTTGAATATGAGTCTCATACCATGTTTTTTTTCATATCCTACAAATGAGTATTATCATTCTATATCTGT